CACGATGTCCCCGGAGAAGGACGATGTTGTTGCCGTCAATGTCTGAGCGGGCTGTTGTTCTTATTGTTATGATGACCACATGTGGTTCAGGATGCCATGGCTGGTTTCCTGTGTGGCCGTCTGCAATCATCAGAGCTTTCCAGACACGCATGCTTAGCGGAGCGTGACAGGCGGGTTCCCCTCTGACCCCTGATGCTGCACAGATACGTGTAGGGCGAGGCTACAGAATAAAAACGCAGCGAGCTTAGAACCCAAAAACAAATAGGACATCAACTTTTGGGCATCTCAGTGTTGTCTGGTTAAATGAGCAAAGATGGTTTGACAAACCGTGCCACGGTTAAGTGTTAATTTCCTCAACAACTACACTGAATTTCAAAATGTTCTCTTTAAAAATGTCTTGAAGGTCGTGTTTTATTATCTTTGAAACACAAAGGATCTGCTGAGCGGTGTTATCAGTCTTATCAGTCAAGGGCTTCCTTTGAAGGGCCAAAAGAAATCTCATTTGTTTTAATGCAATACCATCAATCATTTTCTCAAAGCATGGGTGTCACCTTCTTCGGTTGGATATTTGAATCCCTTCAAGCGCAGACAAGCGTAAAAGCACGTAGCAAATATTTCTTAACAATTTGTCAAAACTTGGACCCAGTAACGACTTTATTCATTCATTTTCATCTGAGAAGGACTGCAATTGAAACATGACCTTTTGAGTTGACGTTTTAGCCACAGCACTTTCCCCCGCCGCGGAAAAAGGTCATGTGGCAGTGGAGCAAACGGAGAGAAGGAAATAGCCTCGTCCTGGCCAACAGATAGCGGACAGGGGAGGAGGCAGGATGCTCCAGCTCTCCTCTGATTCTTCTCAAAAACACAGTAAATCACTTGGACGGGCCCACTTTATCATTTCACAACACACTTTGTCACATCAGGAGGAACATTTGTAGTGGATGTGACAGTCTTACATGAACATGTGGACTAAGTGCAAAATGGTAACAGCTCTTTTGTGGGTATTGTGTAACTAAATTGTTACCGTTCTAGTAAAGTTAATATGCGGCAGAGATGATTTTATTCTAGGGAGGCAGACCCAGATTTGATTCCTGGCCTGTCTGGACAGGTGATAAAAAGCAAATAAAATCCGCCTTCAGGGAGAATGAAAAGCGCTCACTTCATGAGAGGGCAAAATTTAAAAGCTTATCCATTTTTATTTTTTATCTTATTCATTTTATTTTGGCTATAAAAACAGACAGGAAAGACTGAGGAGAGTTATTTCTGACTTTATGACTGCTTCAAAGGTAAGGAGTAACCACTTTTTCTCTTTTCTTCACCTAAATCTGAATGAATTAAATGATGAACGATTGAATTGTGGAGAATCCAAACGATCTAACGATGTGTAGCATGTCCATGTTTGTACATGTATACATCTTCATGCGTGATGCTTTACCGCTTAGAACTAGCTTAAACGAGTCCTCAGAGGCGTATTCAACCCCAAAGGGCTCAATGTTTAAAAAAGGATTTAGTTTTTCTTCTCAATGTCTTCTCACATTTCAGCCAATCCCATGCCCCCTGCCCTCCCTGCTAGCGAGCTCAACACTTGCTATCAAATTTAGCCAGTTAGCTCCTGTTAGCTAAAGCAACAACAATGTCAAAGTTATTCCAAATCAACCAACTTGTATTGAGGCTGCTGCTAGATAAACACAGTACACAGACACAGAAAGCACTTAGCTTTCAAGCCTTATCAAAGGTTCTCTATATGATATTCTGACCATTAACATAGCAGCAAAAAACGATTTGCTATTTATGCACAGCTGCGCTAATACGGTGGTTACAGCTGATCACAAAAGCGTAGCACCCACCCTCCAGTACCCCCTCAGGTAAACACTGTTAGCTCTGTCAGCACTGTTGCCGTCGATTGCACTGTTAGCACTGTTAGCTGCTAGCCACTGGCTCAGCCGTTGCCATCTTTAGAGCCATGTGGAGGAAATAGAAATGCTCAGCAAAGCTACTAGTGCTACCTACCTGCTAACTAAACCATTGACCGACTGGTCTCTGACTTTGTGTTTTAAGTCCTAAACAAGTCATTATGGAGCCATATTTCTCAATTGTTTGATTACATTTGAATATATAATAAAACATTCGAGATGATATTGATCAGGCGTGCCTTGGTATGTTGTATGGTAGTTTATGCATTTCTCAATTTCAAGATCACATCTAACCAAGCTATAGTTGTGGCCTTATCTGGAATGCTGGCTGGAGGATGTAATGGCTCTATAATGGCTCACCTCAAACTCAAAAGCTAAAGTATATACTACACTGAAGTTTTCTAAGCTAACATTTTCCATCCAAACACAGTACCTGGATCCATATATACACTTTATGTTTTTAATGAAAATGATCCCCTTGGCCACCTGTCATGTACTCTCGTCTACATTGTAGGCCCTTTAAAGTTCATTTCAAGTTGAGACAGTTTATTTTAGACACTCTTTTAAGTTAGGCTGAGGACTCTCCAGTGCCCATCCGTATGAGTGTGAGCATCTGTCTCTTTGTGTTTGTCATGAGGTGGACTAACTACTTGTGTTTCCTTACTTTCCACCCAATGCGTGCTGGGATAGAAAACTGTGCAGGTGAGAAGGGCGATGAGGCGAATGAAATAATTATGATGTTCCGTCCTATTTAAAAAAACATCATCGGAGGCAGAGCATCCCAGAAAAACAAGCGGCATCACCTCGGCTTCACTTTGAGTAATTGATGTCTTCGAACAGCAACCTGCAGCTAACAGCAGACGCGGTAGAATTCTAAAAAGCCCGTCAGAAGGATCTCACATAGATTTTCTATGAGACGGTCTGTCAGCTCTAATTTTGGGGAGCACCGGCACGAACTGCCCTGGAGCTGTGCTGAGGGGGGCGGATTTAAAGGTAGTTGATGTGTGACCAGGATATTTTGTGGTTTCAGCTGTTTATGCTGTCCGCAGTGCTTCCGCTGTCCTGCCAAGTGCCCCCCCCCCCCCACCCTAAAAAAGATGGAGATGCTTCATTATTTAACAGACTGGCTTTAAAAGTAGCTATAATTGATTTGTCCATCCTCAACTTAAACAAGCTTTAATGTGTATTAAGATGAGCTTCAAATCAATTGGCAAATGCTTAAAGTATTTTGATTTTGTCAGCTTATATATAGCATTGTGCATATGATCCATATTGGCTTTAACAAAAAGCCAGAGCAAACAAAAAATCTGGAACATTGCCACGAAGAAACATGCATGGCTTTTGCATTCTTTCTCGTATGTTCTTGAGGCGTCAATCAGTTTGTCCCACAAAGCAAAAAAAAAAACACATGCGGTATGTTTTAATGCCGAGATCTGAAATGTGGATTTCTCTTTTCTTTTTAGGGGCCTCACAGACACCATTTCATGTACAGCTCTGTCAGTGAAAGAGTCTTAAAGGTCAGACCCTGGGAAGAAAATATAAATACACAGACGGGGGAAATAAAAAAAAAAGGAAAAGAAAAGCCTTTTATGTGGAAAGACATATGACGCAGATGCTTCAGAGCAAGAGAGCTCGCTTGAATGCTTCGATGAGTATGAAGATGATGTGAATCGTATACTATGGCTTTTCACAGACAAGAGGCCAGCTGAACACCTATGAGTATGCAGCTGTAATTGGGAGGCTGCTGCGATATATATATAAGCCACTGGAAGTTATTAAGACACTGTTTGATTTTCCTTTGATTTGCCACTCATCTATACATCTGAGACATAAGCACGGCCGGATTAACCTGCTTGGTGGCCTCGGGGCAAAAATATGGTGCTCGGCCCCCCCTATTATTATCTGGGTCTTTAGCGACTAAATGTTCCGCTATGTTCACCAGCCAGCCGCTAACTTTGCCTACCTGTTTTTTTTGTGCTGGACAGCTAGCATTTATGTAAGGTTGTAAGACCCGAGATTGGACAATAAAACTAATTTCGGCACGTGCGGAAACACATTGTATATAGCGCCTTGTGGCTCCAAATGGAACTGCACATCCTATCCTTGCATAACACACCTGTGTGGAATGAAAAAAAACATATCTGTGGTCTGCTGCATCAGTTTTGATCCTTTTGTTGTTGTTTTTAAACTGTCCATGTGTCATAATAATGCAATGCTGAATCAGTGGAGATGCCACGTGATACAGTGGTTTATTGGTAAACATATAATATATATATACATATAATATCTATAAATGTTTTGTATATGGGCCTATGGTTATATTACTGTATTTAAGCTATCTTTCTAAACATAGTGCAGCACTATAGGCCGTGCTTTTGTAAAGGACTGACTGATGAATCCAATCAGCAACCCCCTAATCAGTGGTTTAATTACATTAAACTCAGCGTGCCTTTCAAAATACAACATTGTTCATTTATCACACACAATGGGGAACTGATACCTCCCTATTACTGCTTTCACGGGCGAGTTGCCATTGTTGTTTTGTTCGCAACAGGGCGCGCTCTCCTTTGTGCCGAACAAATATATAAATAAACCCCATCATCTCTGTATGCAAAGGTGAGAGAGTCGAGTCCGCCGCGTGCGTTTCTTAGCAGCGGACGTCGGTGATGAAATCAAAAGGGGTTGTGACGACACCGCGAGAAATAACAGCAAAAGCCTCTGATGTGGTGCTTAAAAAAAAAAAATTCATCCCAAGCAAGAAGAGGAAACGCCGAAAAATTAACAATCCAAATACACTTAAATGTATGTATCTAAGCCCCTGACATAAAATAAATAAAGAATCACTGACACGTGAATGCAGCTGCCGTGGAAACAATGTGTTGTTATGTCATATTTGTTAGCGTGTTTCCGCGTGTTTATTGAGATTGGAGTACTTGTTGACAGAGAGGGACTTTTCTTTTCATTTATTTTATTGTTTTTGGCAGGAATGGCACTCGAGTCTTTCGTCTTTACGCATTCCTCCTGAACACACACTGCTACGCGTGCGCGCGTGTGTGTCACTGCTCCCTCCCTCCTCCCCTCCTCGCCCGCCTCCCTCACTGCATCTGACAGCGTCCCTCCCTCTTTCTCTCCTCCTTCTCTCATTAGGCTTTTTCACCGGCAAAACACCGACACACTCCCTTTCCTCCCGCCCCTGTAACCGGAGAATAAACACGGAGCGGCGAAGGGGAGAAAGATTGACCTCCGCCGGTGCGCACCACCATCCATGGTCCTCCCCTGGATGTCTGTCTGACAGGAGGGTATGTTGGAATATTCATATCCCCCCCCTCTCTCTCTAGATCTCTCGCTAGTTTGCACTATGTCGTTTTAAACCCAGGCTTGGTTGTGTTAAATGATTTGTTGAATGTCCGGCTTCAACGTTTTTCCCCTCAATGATTACGGTGCTCTGCTGGATTCTCTCTTTTTGGTTGCCTTTTGCTGCTGCGGTGCAAGAAATAACAAATGCATTCATTTCAAGCTGCGGCTGTTCATTGTAAGACCGCGCATGGACTTTGCCCACATGCTTGCCGTCCCTCCGCCGCGGGGGTTGAATAATATTGTGGGAATGAAGCAGCAGAGGCAAGTTGTTGCGTCGTTTTGTGCGCCTGTACTGGCCCAGTCAGTGTTGACAAACCAACCAGGCTGCTAGATTCCCCCCCTCACCACCACTTCCAGGATCTGGACAGCCACTCTACAGGCCACGTGATGCTCTACACTTTATTTAAAAAAAAAAAAAAAAAAAAGTTGTGCCGTTTGTGTGTCAGGCTCTCAGGACAAACTGGATCTGCTATATCGCCCTTTTTATGTCTGTGTGTTCTCTCAACACACCTACCGCTAATTATGCAACAGCCACACTTGACAGATGCATGCACACACACACACACACACACACACACACACACACACGCGCTGTGGACTCACACAGTCAGTGCTGCCATTGTCACGCCCTCTCTTGTCAACAACCCCTCTGGTTTTGCCCACACCAAGTAAAACAAACGTGTAGTTTCGTATATATTTTGGCCCCTTGTTGTTTTCCGTCTTCCTCGCGGTATGATCGTTTGTCGTGATGCGTAGACGGTGCACCTTAGGCCGAGAACGGCGTGGAGACGTTCGGCTACAGAGGTGAAACAACGCTCTGCTCTGTGTTTTTGTCTGCGTGCTGGGGCAGGTCCCCTGTATGGAAATGGTCTCACCTTTGGCCCCCTGGCTTCTTCGTGGGTTTTGTGGAATTACATGCAGTAATTGACGAGGAATGCTTTCTGTAGTGCACGTTGGGGGGGGGGTTACACCTACGGGGTGGACTCTACGGCTGTAGCCCCCCCCCCCCCCAACTATATTTCTATCGATTGCACTGAGTCGTTTGCACAGTTGGTTGCAATCGACTATGATCTCCAGGAAGGTCTCGATGAAGTGTTTCCCTCAAAAGCTCTTCCGATCGACTCACATTGTGTCATGTTTCTCACTGTATCGGTTCGTCTTGTCGTTGCGCTTATGCCAGACCGGCAGGTCTGCAGTGTCCATGGTACTTCTGTCACGCTCTCCCTCCAGGCCTCACGCACGTGTGCACACACACACACACACACACACGCGCCGTTGGCCTCAGCCGGCCGACCTGCTGTCGTTAACATCGGACACACTCCTGCGTCTGCTGTGTCAGGCCTGCAATGTCACTCTGCCAGCCAGCCTCCTGATGCCGCCCCCCCCATCCCCTCATACTCTCGCCCTCCTAACTGCCAGGGGGCCATTACCTCATCCCAGCGCCAGTTTTGGGGGGGGGGGGGGGGGAGCTTTTAGTGCACAAAGTCTCGCTACTAGTGTGCACATGTTTGTGTTTGTGTGTGAGTTCAGTTGCCCGAGGGCTCCGCTGGGAATTCACAGCCCGGCATGCTGCCTCCCACCATTTGCAATTCAAAACGAGCATGTATGAAGCATCCAGCGAGGCTGAGGCAGCCCTCCTCCCCCCCCGTGTCTCATCGGAGACGAGTCATTCCTCGCACTCGCTAAGTCAACTCGGCCACTTCTTACTTACTCCTCCGTGGGAAAAAGAGATCAGTTCAGATCAGCTCCTGTGTATGAAACGGTATCACAGAGGAAGTGGTGGCCATTTTACCTGAGTCATGGTTTCTTTTGTTTATGCTGTAGCTCCAGGCACATGCATAGAGCGCTGCAAAATTGTGTAGGGGTCACCCTGATGTTACCAACGATGATGCAAAGGCAATGCAGCAGCTGTGTGTGTGTGTGTGTGTGCGTGTGTGTGTGTCATGCGCTTGTCATTTCTTTGGGCCCAGCTGACTGCTCTTTGGCTCGTCATGTTTTTTGTAGCCTGGTGAGCTTGGTCACGTCTCTTCCTGCCTTCGGAACACCAGTGAGCAATCACACACACAGAGTCACACACATGGATGGATTATTGGACGGACCTGCCAGGGTCAGGCCCAGGGGCCCAACGTGTCGGGGGACCCCCTGGCCTTTAACTGGCGAAATGTCACTCAAAGAGACTCGTACTAACCAGGAAGAGACTCAAAATGACCACAAGGAAACATGCTACGTCTGCAAAGAGATGCAAAACAGATGCAAAGAGACACAAAGCAACCAAAAAGCATGTGTTTGCCCAGGGGCTCATTGTGTCATAATCCACTCATGGACACACACATGCATTCGTACTGATATTCTTGTGAGGTACTTGCTTATTGACATCATGCATTGCCTAGTTCCAAACCCTAACTGTATCATCACAACTAACATCAAACCACAACCCTGACCTTCACCTGAATCCATATTTGGCCCTCAAGTTTTCATCCTTTAGGATTGTTAGTAGAACAACCCCCATTTTCATACTATTAATATTCATGGCATAACCATTTATTGTGTCATTGCCTCTCTATAATGTTGTTTTTAAGGATAATGGCAGTCTGCATCATTCAAATTGCGTTCCCAGACACAAGGGACTCGCTGTAAACTCAGTGTGCACGCTGTGGACGTGATACGGAAGATAAAAATATGCCTTACTTATTCAGTCTCTTTCAAACTATCAAACCACAGTTGGGGATATTTGGATCAGTGGAAAGACTAACACAGATAGTATTAATGAGCTTCATTTTTGTTCTGTCAGGTTTGAATAAAGTGTTTTTTTTTTCTGAAGAGCAGCGAAGTACAATTACTGATTTGGTCAACGGAGTCGGGTAGTTCTGAGGAGAGCACATAACTGCTTTTATTCACATCTAACTGTGTGAATTCAGGGTTTATTTTTACCAAACCAGAGTTGGTGATTGTTGTTACAGTGGAAAGACTAAGAAAGACGTTTTATTTAGTTTCTGTTCAGTTTGAATTAAGTGTGCTTCGATGATCAGCGAGTAAAATAACTGTTATCTGACTGCAGTCTGGTGGCTTTGACGAGAGCATATTGTATGTTTTGTACATCAATTCAAATAATAACCCAAATCTCTGTTGATTTTAGCATCGAGGGGTCATTTTTCAAACACTGCTGATCAGAGCTGGAGCCAATAAATACTCGTGATTACTGCAGAGTCATTTGGAATGAATGACGATTGTAACCTTTCCCATTGAAGGCAAAAGCCAGATGTTACGTTTTTTGTTTGGTCCAGTGGGAATGGAGGCTTTACAAAACTATAAAGATGGGTGACTGAGGACGGATAGATACAAAAAAAGGTCAGAAGGCTTAAATATCCTGACCTTTAATTGCTAGTACAAGTCAACCTTTAACAACAACTCAATAGCATTTTTTCAAACCTTCCCGGTCTAAATGCCATCACACCACACAAACATTGTTTACACACCAACGAACACTTGATACCTGATAAACTGATGAGCAGCAGTGTGTTATTGATTGTCGGCTGATGGATTCGTGCGTACCACAGTGGTGAAGTGCACTGCAGCTTTGTGTTTATTCGTTTGTCTAACAGGCCTAATCTTAAATCTCTGTTTTACATGCTTTCTTTTTATTTCTTAAATCAGCTTTGTTGGGAATAATCAAAAGAGGATAACGTGACATTACGGCAGCTGGATCCAGCGAGCGTAATCGCACCGGCTGTGCCTGCTTTTTTTGGGGGGGTTTTGTTATGGGAGTAGAATTAAGCCTCTTCAGGACGCTGCACCGCTACGACTCAGACCCGAACATCATATCGTTTCGCCGCGTGGTCTTTAATGGAGTGTTTTGTTGGGCTATCCAGCAACGATGTCCACAGTTATTTGCAGCGGCCTCTTCCTCCCTCAGTCGAGGGCCCTCTTCACAAGCCTGTTGCAGCGCTGTTGCTGTTGCTGTCTGTCTGATCGGGGCTTTATATTTAGCTTTGGTTTTCCCTCACACAGCTTCGGGGCGATTCATTGCCTTCCTCAGATTGCATCATTCTGTCTGCAGTCGGATGTAAGAAGAGAAAAGAGACACTATTTCGTGCCACGAGGCAGTTTTATTTCACCATTCTGCTTTCCCACCTTCAGTCATGTAGCTCCTCGCAGTTGATGGGAAGCAGTACTTTGTCCTTCTGAAGGGGAGGCAGAGAGCTTTACCCTGAGCAGCAGCAGCTCAGCTCGGCTCGCCTCAGCCTGATGATTACAATGAGTCAGCAGATTCTCCATACCCCCCCTCCCTTCCTCCCTTCCTTTGCATACCTACACTCGTTTCCGTCGCTCCCTCTCGACTGCCGCCTTCTTTGAACAAACCCCCGTTGCCTCTAAAGGATGAGACTCATCGTGTTGTTGTCTTGCTTTGATCTGTTGCAACGATACCCATAATGCTGCTCTTTGTTATTTTTTTAACTCCCCACAGTAAAATTCATATTTCAGCCACAGTTGAAAAGGAAAGAGAACAGTTGCCACTTCTTTTTTTCAGGGCTGTTCATTCTGCTTTCTTCGTGGTCTGCCGCGGAAATGCTTTGCTCCAGCTACGTTGGCCCCTTCCAACAAACCGAGCCAGCGGCCATTGTTTTCTTTCGGGCCACTTCACACTTAGCAATCATTAATTGGAGCCTTTTGCATTCAACAGTTGTGGAGGAAGGCTAATTCCGCTGTTGAGCCGTTCCATTTCCCCGATGACTGAAGTGTGTGATTGCCTCGCACGCTGCAGAGAGCGGGTGAATAGAGGACAAGCGGTCGATCATAGTGCAGTATTTATAAATGCATAAAACGAGACCTAAAAAGAGGATTAGAAAGGGATTAGTAGCCCCCCCAAAAGAAGAAGTGCAAATTCACAACAATGCCATGCTTACTTGCTGCTGAGGAAAATTCTGTTCATTTGCACAAATAT